CCCCCCCCCCCCCCCCCGCCCAACTCCAGTGGCGAGAAAGTGAACTTAGATCATTGTCAGGATCAAAAACTGAAGTTAGTTCTTATCCTTGAGGTAAAAAGTTTTCCAGAGAGCTCGGGAACTGCTCGCAGGCAGCGCAGTGTGGATAAGAGCCCATGGCCTTAGCCCAGCGCCTTTGGCGGGTGCCCAGAGGGGGCCGCCAGTCCAGGAGGTGGCCGCCAGTCCGGGAGGTGGCCTGTGGAAGGTGACGATTAAAGACAGGCTGTCCCAGCCTCAAAGCCACTCCCCGGTCTGGCTGTTTGGAACGTCAGTTTACTGGCACACCAGCTTTGTGCTTTGTCAGATTTAGGTTCAGAGAACGTTAGAGTTTGCTGGTAAGATTTGGTAGGAGGATGATGAGGATAGAATGTAAATTTGCAAAATCTATCCGCACAACTGACTTGATTTCACGTAGTGCGTGTGAGTTATGAAGAATAAGCGTGATGAAAATAGTTTGAAATATAAAGTAATGCTTTCTTCAGCGAAGCATTGTAACTTTCCCTTTATGCGAAAGAGGGCGTTCAAAATACTGTAATTGAACTTGGTAATTATCCTACTGAGTCTTTATTTTCGGTCATTTGGGTTTTAATCGCATCAGAAAGAATTTTAATGACATTCTGCGTGGCTGCTAATTGGTAAAAGAAACTAGTCAGGAACATAAGCTTTTAATCATTTACCCTGATTTCAGCTTTCATTTTAACCTAATAAAGGAAAGGGAAAAAATCAGTGTGATTACCTGGCCTGTATCTTAAATCTGAAAAGGAAGAAAATTTTCACTTAAAAGTTTCTTAATTTGAGAGTCAACCTTTTCCTCACACTTTCTGAAAATGTTGGCCCTTTGATGCTGATTAAAACTTGTTGTGATTTTAACATTTTAATAGCCAGGATTGAGATTGTCATAGGGGGCATTTAAAAATCTCACCACACTGTAAAGTTTTAACAAGTGGCTGTGCAATGCAGTGTCTTCAGTCTCCAGTAGAGCGCAGCTCTCGTTTTCTCTCTAGATAATCTGATGAGTGTTATGTAGCAGTTTGAGTTTAAGCACAGAGCTGTCTCAGGCACGGTTCCCTGCTCTAACCAGCAAGATTTCTGTTGTTCACAGGTGCTGTGAGCGATGTGGAGATGCAGGAACACTATGATGAATTTTTTGAGGTGAGCTGTTGGCTGAAACCCGCTGACCTGTTGTCCGCCCTTTGTATCCGGGCTTACGACTTTTCTCCGTTAGTGGCAATGCCTGGGCGTGAGTTACGTGCGGTCGCCCCTCTGCCTGTGTGCGGCCCTCACGGCACTGTCGCCCCTTCAGGAGGTTTTCACGGAGATGGAGGAGAAGTACGGGGAGGTGGAGGAGATGAACGTCTGCGACAACCTCGGGGACCACCTCGTCGGGAACGTGTACGTCAAGGTAGGCGCGAGGGGCCGGCGGGGCTGAGGAAGCGCGAGCGCCCTCGGCCGCTGCCCGCGGACCCCCCCGTGCTCGGCCCTGCCCGTGAGCTCGATGCGCTCGACCGCCCTCGGTGGCTGCGGCTCGGGCCCGGTGGCCGGCCTGCGGGTGCCGGGAAGACGCGGGGAGGGGCAGCCGGCTTATGCGTTTGGTGTCTTCTCCCCCCGCCGCCCCTTTGTTTAAAATAAGACTTCCGTTGCCCGCATGAATCATGACGTGTTCTTTTAACCAGCTGAATCTGAAAACCATGGCAACATACGGCCCGAGCTTGGACCGTAGCAAAATTAACTGCTAAATGAAGGGCGGGCTGGTTCTTAAATTGCTGTCCGACATTATCCCACCCGGATTACTCTACCTGTGAGCGGGCGACGCATAGTTGAGTCAGTAGTTGAAGACATTTGTCGCCGAGGTGTGGACGGCAGCGTTTTGGCCTTTTCAGTTTCGCCGTGAAGAGGATGCGGAAAAGGCCGTGATTGACCTGAACAACCGCTGGTTTAATGGCCAGCCCATCCACGCTGAGCTCTCCCCTGTGACCGACTTCAGAGAAGCCTGCTGCCGCCAGTACGAGATGGGGTAGGTGTGTGCAGGCCCCAGGGGCGCCCTGGGCGGGTGGGGGCGCACCGCATGACCCCATCTGTTCTCCCGCAGGGAGTGCACGCGGGGAGGCTTCTGCAACTTCATGCACCTGAAGCCCATCTCTCGGGAGCTGCGGCGGGAGTTGTACGGGCGCCGCCGTAAGAAGTGAGTACTCGAGTGAACCGTGACCGTTTTGTAACCGAGTTTTCAAGTAAAGCTTGGTCTTCGCGTCATTTCTCTTTAAAAGGCACTGCTTAGAATGTAGTGCGTATCTTAAAATACAACGTGTACTCTTTGAAAGATATTTTCCACGCACACACGGCTTTCTCCTTGTCAGGTCGAGATCAAACCTTAATAACTGAGGGAACCGTTAAGCTGGTGACCACTAAAATTAGGTTTCTTTACACGGTGTTTGTTCTCAGATATCTGGACTTCCTTTATGTGCTGCCTATTTCCATTGGGGTTTCTTGGTTTTTATTGGCTTGGGCAGGTTTCTTTGGCTGGGGGCGGGGGCACCGCCCTGTGGACCACTGACAGTTGGGCACCGTTACGTGTCTGGTCCTGTTGCTTAAGTGCAGGCGGTCATGTCACCAAGCAGAGAAAAGGCCAAGGTGTCAGTTCTGACAAGGTTCTCCTCAGATCACTGAGTTCTGACCCCAGAGGGATCCTCGTCCCTCTCCTGTCAGACAAATACTTGGAAATGCAGACCTTATTGGTGATTGTTTCATTGTCAACAAAAAGAAGCGTAGGAGGAAAAGAACCCTGGCCTCCCCTCACCCACGGTAGGCCCGACGGACACCGTCGCTGAGCTGCGTACGTGTCGGGGCGGCGGCCTGACTGGGACGGGACCTGAAACTGGGGTCAGATGTGGAGTGAGGGGTGTGTATGTCCCGTTCACTCTGGATTCGGGTTTCCCCTGACCGTTTGAGCTGGTGCCACGGGAGGATATGATAGAGAAGATGTCATAGCTCTTCAGTCTTCAGGTGCCCCTTTTTATCCCTGACACTTAACGTCTGAGACGAGGGCACATCTTACAGCTCCAGCTTGTGGCTTAATTGGCAGCGTTTTTCTCTTTTGTTGGCCTCATCGGCGCGATGAGCTGCAGTGTTCAGACGTGTCAGTCCGCGTCCTGTATGTTGCGTGCTGCGGTGTGGGTGCCACGATGTCTTTTCCTGTCCTTGCTTGCAGGCATAGGTCGCGGTCCCGCTCTCGGGAGCGTCGCTCTCGGTCTAGAGACCGTGGCCGCGGCGGCGGCGGCGGTGGCGGCGGGGGACGGGAACGCGACAGGAGGCGGTCGAGGGACCGAGAGAGGTCTGGGCGATTCTGAGCCGTGCACTTCTTGCTGCGTGTCTGCTGGGAAGTGTCGTCCGTCGTTGGTTGACCGAGCCAGTTCATAATGGGAGTTTTTTTTTAAAAAACAACAAAAAAAACAAAGATGGGTTTCTGAATAAAATTTGTAGTGATACAGAATTCCTGTGTGACTGATTTCTTGTGCCAAGTCTTTGTTTCCAGTCTCCTCCTTTACAGACCTGCACGTACATCATCAGCCCTTGAGGTGAAGGTATTACATCAGTCACTTCACGTATAAATGATACACCTACCAGTTAAGGGAAAATTCATGTGCGAAAAAGGCCTGTTTCCTGCGATGTGCATGTTAACAGGTAATCCAGTGTTTCTTTTCCGAAGCTGTGAGCAGACTGGAGTGGAAGCCCCGCCCTGCAGACTGCGCTGGCGTCTGTAGGAACCTTGATCTCTCGAGCAGGCGCAGTCCGTGGAGCTGCGGTGTTGGCTTCTTAGCCGTGAGCTTCTAGTTTTGCTGCAAGGGCTGCCTTGTGTCCTGAGACACGGGCATGCGCTCAGGCCCTCGCGTTTCTGTTTCACCGACTGATGGCTGCGTCGTAAACCACTAAGGGACGGGAGCACAAGCTCTGTGATCACATCTGCCTCGGCAGAACCTTCCTGTCTGGTGTCACCTTCCCAGGCCGTCTTCGTCATGGCAACGCAGGGCAGTGTGACTCGGGGCAGCCGTGGAGTTGTGTCCCGGTTCCTGCTGTGGCTGCACCTCGGCTGAGAGCACAGAGATTCTCTTAAGAGAACGTCTTACCCAAAGGCAAACCGAAACACGGTTCCAGGTGACCAGCACACGGCACTGCGTGGCATCCCCGTGTTTCCTCAAGACAGCCCCAAGCACAGTTGCCCGCAGGCGTCCGACCCTATTACCCGTTGCTGGGAGGTGTGGCTGATGAGTGCGGGGAGACACACTACTTTCCTGGCCAGTTTGTTTCACGGAAGTCAACTTTCATCTGGTGAATTATAAAAAGTGATTTAGCGATTATGTTAGTTTTGTTCAGGTGTGCTGTCTTGAAGTTTTGGGTTTTTTTGTTTTTTTGCAGCAGTAGGCGGATGATTTTGGATAAAGTGGCACTGGGAGTCGGTGGTCTAAGAAGTCATGTTTAAGTCAGTTTCATACTCGCGAGAGTCAGCACCAGTGCTTCAGATTTTCTGCCTAAGTTTCGTCAGAGTGTGGAGACGACTAAGTCATTCCCACCGCATCTGAAGGGGCGACGTGACAGAATGTTTCATTTGTATTTCTTAACTTCGATCAGAGTCACCTTCTCCTGTGAAAGTCTCTAGTTTCAAAAGTAAATGAAGATCCCTGGTGGTCCAGTGGTGAAGAATCCACCTTCCAACGCGGGGGACTCGGGTTCGAGCCCTGTTCGGGGAACTAAGATCCCACGTGCCACGGGGCACCTAAGCCCGCGTGCCATAACTACTGAGCTCACGTGCCTCAACGAGAGAGCCCTGTGCCACAACTACAGAACCCACACGCCACAGTGAAAGATCCCACATGTGGCAACTAAGACCTGTTGCAGCCAAAAATAAGTAGACTTTTTTTTTTTTTTTTTTTTTTTTATTAATCACTTACAACTACGATTTCCTCGGTTAAGTAAAATTTTGTTCCTTGGGAAATTTGACTTATGTTCACCTCTAATATGAAGAACAGGATGTATAGGTTATTAAAATAAATTTTCATAATGAATAGCAGTCAGTCTTCAAAAGTCTTCAGAAGTAAGGCACAAACACATCACAAACACATCACAAGGTTGGGATTTATGATGTCACTTTTTATATTGATCCAAGTCAGCCTCACTGGCTCCACAGCTCCTTTTCAGAACTTCAGAGAATGCCTTCTCTTTCTTCTCCATGATGGCAACATTCTTAGTTCTCACCCCTAAGTCTTTCCTTGTGTTACTTAGTCAAGCAGAACATTTCGGGTTATTTTGACTCTATTCTCTCTTACCCCACCCTCAGAGCACATTTTATTCTACCTCTCATATTTTTTGAACTGATCCTTTCTTTTTCATCCCTGTCATCACTATATAATTTCATCATTTTTTTTTTTTTTTTTTTTTTTTTAAGTGTCTTGAAACTTTGTCACCAAAGTCAGAAAGGGGAGCTTACAAAGTAAAGGGAAAGGAACCCTGCCGCCCCGTGGCAGGTCTGGAGTGAAAGGCCGTTGAGGGCAGTTTGGGCCTGAAGCTGCCCTGTGTTGCCACTGGTTTGGGCATGCTTGGACCTACCCACGTCACCAAGGAGCAGCTCAGTAGATAAGCCCAAGTAAAGGTGGTAGCACCCAGGTCCAAGGGGATTTTTATTTTATAAAAATGGGGGGGAGCTTCCCTGGCGGTGCAGTGGTTCACACTCCGCCTGCCAGTGCAGGGGACATGGGTTTGAGCCGTGGTCCGGGAAGATCCCACGTGCTGCAGAGCAGCTAAGTGCACCACAACTACTGAGCCTGCGCTCCAGAGCCCACGAGCCACAACTACTGAGCCCGCGTGCCTAGAGCCTGTGCTCCGCAACAAGAGAAGCCACCACAATGAGAAGCCCGCGCACCACAGCGAAGAGTAGCCCCCACTCGCCACAACTAGAGGAAGCCTGCGCGCAGCTTTCCCAAAGACCCAACGCAGCAAAAATAAGTAAATAAATAAATTTATTTTTTTAAAAAAGCCACTTGAAATAATTGATTTGTAATGAGGAAGGGCCCAAATATTACTGCAGAAGTTTCCTGTCCTGAATATTACACGATGTATATTAAGACTGAAACCAAATAGAGAATAGCTGCTGAAACAAACTCTTTAAATACAGTATCAACACATTTAATTCAACAGTTGTGTTGAATTACTTCAGTTAACTTTTACAGCCTTTGTTTTTTTGCTTGCTGTTTTGACACGTATAGCAAGCTTACCCTGTGCATGTGTGTATATGTAATAGTTGAAAATCATTTTAAATATTTCAAAACATTGGCGTTTGAGGTCACCACCACTATTGATTGGAGAAAACTCACTTCCTTTGAACAAGATAGTATTGGAGAAAGGGTTGCTGGTGTGGTCATTGCAGTATCACTTTTTCCCTTCTCAGTTCAGGAGTCCTTATTTACCAAAAGGGGTTGAAAGAGCAAATGATTTTTCTTTTTTTTAAAAAAAAAAAGTCTATTCAGGGGCTTCCCTGGTGGCGCAGTGGTTGGAAGTCCGCCTGCCGATGCAGGGGACGCGGATTCGTGTCCCGGTCTGGAGCGGCTGGGCCTGTGGGCCACGGCCGCTGAGCCTGCGCGTCCGGAGCCTGTGCTCCGCAACGGGAGAGGCCACAGCGGTGAGAGGCCTGCGTGCCACACACACACGCACAAAAGTATTCAAAACACAGAAAACACTGGTGTTATAAATGTGCTTCTAGAGCCTTTGTAATGGAAAGTCAGGCTGGGGTCTTGGCAGTCAAGAGTGTCACATGGGACTCAGCGTGGCTGACCCTAGTGAGGTTGGCTTTGTTTAGTCCAGTGGTTCCCAGTCTTGGGGGTTTTCAGACCATTTAGAATTTCCCAAAGAAACAACATAGGATTGTGGTCAATATAAGATTCTCAACTTCTGGTTTGCTAAGTGGGACTTTTTTAATTGCTCTCATCAGATTTCAGCCATCATTTGCTGAAAGAGCATTTCAGTTTTTTTAAACATACTCAAAAGTAGAGAAATGGTGGTGAAGCCCCAGGTACTTAAACCTGTGTACGTAAAATGTTTGCATCCCTGAAATGTAAGGACTTTTCCATGCTGCCACCTCAGGAAAGCACAGCCCGGAATAAGCTTGGCTTCAACCATGGTGCCTTGCCTTTCCTTTTGTAACTCCTAGGGTTGGGGTGTAGCGGCACCGTCCATCAGGGTGTGGCGGCCTGTGTGTGTGTGTGTGTGTGTGTGTGTGTGCACGCACGCTTGTGCACCAGCCAAAAGTGAGCAAGGTGGAATAAATGCCTTGTTGGCACTTGGCATTTTCGGCTGGCATTTCAGGGCAAAAATGAGGCAAAGCTCTACACTTGAGAGAAGGGTGCTCAACCGGAAGAGGCGCCTCAGAAGACCAGGTGCTCCGAGAACTCTTGGGTCCGGCCACGCAACTTGGGAAGAGGGCTGGGGTCTGTCTAGGGGCACGGGGATTAGGTTCTCCGAGGGCTTTGGAAGTGGCAACAGGAACTAGCCCTGGAGGCTGAATTCCTTTCCCTGTCCATCCAGACACAGGCCGCATGGAACAAAGCAGGGAGAGAAGGCACCTGGTTGGATCAGGCTTTTTATTCCAGTTGATCTGCATAACCTTTTGAGAGATAGGAGGGAACAGCTCTAGAAATCAGGTACATTGAGCAGGTTGTCCCAGTGCAAGTAACAGCAGATACGATGAGCTAGTTCCATCAACAAAAATAAAGGATGTATTGGCTGTGTTGACCCAAAACACATAAGTTATTTCTCCAGCAAAGATGGGCCTTTTCAGCATAAGCAGAGAATCCAACTGGGGTCTGGAGCCGTGAGGAGCCGTGTGCCAGTCCCCGCGCCGCTCCAGCTCAGTTCTCTGCCTGCCCCACCCCGTAGGGGTTTGCATCGCCTCAGCTTCTCCACGCGTCATGTTCGGGAGCAAGGACACCTTCCCCCAGGACACCCAGCGCCTGGCGTCTCATTGACCCAAATCGGTACTGCTTATAGCTTCCAGACTCTAAATATGAAATGAGTACGGTACTGATAAAATCTCCAAGACATGGGACACACACACACACAAAACTACAGGGGAGTCTCAGTTCTGAATGTGGATGCAAAAGTCCTAAATACAGGCAAACAGAATCTAGCAGCATATTAAATATGCCACAGCTAAGTGGGACTTATTCTAGGAATTAAGGATGAATGATAACAAATATTTAATTTGTTCTATTTAACTTTTCTTAGGAGACTCCCAATCACATTTGTGTTGTACCTCTTAGCCGGCTCCATAATTGTCATATTTTTAATGAGCTGCGTGATACCTACCGCACAATACTTAGAGAACTGTTATGAGGTGAACCCCCTAGTAGGTCCTGCCCAGTCAAAGTAGCTGCACCGGCCAGCGCCCAGACCAGCCTCCCAGCCGCAAAGCACCTCCCTCCTCAAGAAAACGACCATC